ATACGGGAGCAGTCAGAACAGCAGTTGTGACGCCAATCTGATGCTCAAGCGTTAACACAAGATGCTTTTGTGAGAGTTAAAACATCTGTCATCTGCTGAAAATTCAGTCAAATCTTGTTATCTTGGAGATACTACTACTTCTGCAGCAGTCCCAGTTTTCCCTGCACAAATAAGAACATGCCATATGTCCTCATAGTGCTCCCTGTTTGATGTCTCTGTAAGTAACATTATCATCATGTGACTGGTGGGTGTTTAGCAGGGATTGAGGAAGTAGATTTTTAGGAGACCCCTTCTGCACCAGCATGACAAACACAGAGATTGTTCACCCTCTCAGTGCCACTAAATTTTTTTAATCTCATCTGCTGAAGTAGTCTATTAGAGAGAAAAGTACAGAAGACTTTCAATCTAAGATACTTGCTTAGATGCAAAATATTGGTTTCAAATCTATTAAGAATTTATTTTGATGCCTAGTTTTTAAGGACATTTGAAGCTGTTGAATGGAATCCACTAATCGGAACATCACTGTGTTGAGCAAAACTGGTCTTTTCAAAGCAAGTAATTCTCTCCTGTGATTGCTGCAGTTGTATATTACTTGTCAACTTTCATATAATTGCCAGTGTGTTGGACAATGCTTTTAGCAATTATGGAATTAAAGATATGTGGATATAAGAGATCCTCTGTCTTTGCCCATACTCCCAAGGCCTTGAGGCTATGAGTACAAGATCAAACAGGTACCGTAGGTCTGTTGTGTTGCTCCTTGGAGCAGAGAAGACTGTGGCTGAGTCATCTGCATCTTGTCAATTCATCGGACACAGACAAGATGTATGTTTGTGCTATCTTCTTCCTTCTGAGCAGTGATTTTAATTTTCAAAATGGCCGAAGGGTCCTGCACCTCCATTGGAATCTTTTAATAGTTCATACATGAGAAAGGCTGAAAATTACTGAAGTTTGTGACATACCAATAGGAGCAGGAGGAGCTGAGAGAAGGGAAAATAAGCACTTTCTTTCCTGCTTATTCCCTTACATCCCCATCTAGCCAATGTTGCTGATCCCTTATCACTGCTGGTGAGAAGCATGTTTGAGATGACAAGCTACTGCACGGTGCTGGCATGGCAGTGGATCCTTTTTTTGAGACAGAGAAAACTCCAGCCAAGTAAGTGGCATGCTAAACTGGACAAGGTGTTTAACTAGGTACGGCAGCTGAAGAGGCTGGGACCCACACTGGTATGCTGATCTAATGAGATCAAAGCCCAGGCATTTCTTTGAGCAAAGCCCATCGTGGTTTTTTTTAAAAGAAACATCAAAAAAAATAACCCTTTTGCTTGTTCATTGAGGAAACAAAAGCCATATGGAAATTTATCCGGCATTCAAGATCAGGAAACAGCAATCACTGAAAGAGTCATGTACCATCTAATCACTTGGGGGAAAGTGTTTCTTATTCTGCTCATTGGCGTCTCTTGGAAACATCTGCTCTTGCTCCTGATTTTCTTTAATGAGAGCATAAATGGTACTGTGTAATTCACCTTTTCTGTAGCATTGTCTCTTGGGCCTCTGTTGTGGGAGTCTCATTTTCTCTTTCTCTGCATGCCATGTTCTGCTAATCTTATTTGTTCTGTCAATGGTGTCTGTGCCTCTGACACTGTCTTCCTTTTCTCTGGGTTTTTTTGTTTTTCTGATGAACTTATTGAGGAGCGGCAGGTAATACTGATTGCACTTGCAAGGAATATACTATCAACTCATATGTTTTACAGTGATCTCCAAATTTGCTCAAGTTAGCAGAGTCATTCTGGATTTGCTCATAAATTGTTGATTCACATATAAAAGTTAGAGGGTCCATTTTGGAAATATGGCCTGTGGTGCTGTGTAATATAGCGATACAAAATTTCTCTCAGTAATTTTATCATCCATCCTGTGGTTTATGGTAGATATCTTGGACTTCCGCATTCTTTGGTGCAAACAATTATCGCAAGTGACTTTGTTTCTTTAGAAATTGATGATTCATCCAGCAGCAGCCACTGGCATCCTCCTTGCTTGAGTTCTGTGCAGGCTGCTTTGATGCCCGGTGTGAATACCCTATATCTAGGTCCTTCAGCCTGTTACTGCTCTTGGTATGGTCCCTCTAGAGGTACACGTGAGAAAAGAAACTTTGGCTTTCTTTGATATTAATTGGGAATTCTCCATTTATCTTTTAAAAATTAGATCCTGGGATGTGTAATATCTAATTTCAAGTGGTTTCTATTGGAAAGTTTGGCTGGAATCCTGGTTTGGGGCTTTTGTTTTTTTCCTGTTTGCTTGTTTTTTTAAGCCTTTTCCCAGTGGAAGCAAACTTTGTTTTGCTATTAACTTCACTGGGAGCAGGAGCAGCCATGGTCTTGTATTTATTTATTTTGTGTTACACCAAATATGACTCGTTCTAAAAAGTATAATTCAGAATACTGAGTATTGGTGGTTGATGCCTATGAGTCATATGCCCCCTCCACCAGTATTGCTGTTTGTTCTTGTCCTAAACAGAGACATTTGGTGGATTTCTTTTTCCATCAAGTTCCTCAGCAGTTGAAATTGCTCAGAGGGGAGCTGATAAATAATTTACAGCCATGAATTTCTAAGTGCAATGAATTTTTTACATTGTAGATTGATTTGACAGTTGTATGTTTATAAATATAATGATGAATGTTCCAGTTTAATCTGATTTATTTTTTTGCTTGTGCCTTTTTATTAGAGTCATTGGGAAAAATGGATAATGGCTGACTAGCTGAAAGTTTGAGTTAATATTTTTGAAGCATGTGAATGCAACTGTAGTAGAATTTGCTCTTCAGGTATCTATCCCTATGCTTTAGTTTTACATGCTTATGTATTTTATCTTTGTATTTGTACTCTTATGTACAGTTTTGCAACTCAGTTGCTTTTGATTTTTACTATTGGGAGATACGCTCTGTAATATCTCTATTGCTCTGCTGCCCGGCAGTTCAAGAGCAGTGTCCTGGCACTGGTGGTTGGTTGTGCTTCTGTATTTAATCCACCTTGTTGAAAGGGGAGTAAGAAAACAAGGAGATCATGCCTATCTCCGTGCCCGTGTCTTGGCAGAGATGCACAAAGAGACTTACTTCTTAGCATGCTGTTTGTGTTACAGTCTAACCTTTATCACCAAAGGCTAGCTTTTGCTCTGGTGTACACAATAAATTGCTACTACATTGTAACAGATTTTTTTCTCTTTTTTTTGGTAAAGAACACAATTCTGAATGTAATAAGTGTACCTGATAGGTATGAAGTCATAGCCTGTGTAATCTTCTCAGAAGTTTATTACAAAGCAGGTACATTTAATTGTGGCTGCATGTCATTGTATGTTAACGTACTATGTGCGTAATGGGATGGGACAGTGTAAATAGTAACAGCCTGTCATATACCGCTTATTACATAGAGCGAAATAGTACCCCGTGTATTCAAAGCTGGGAAATTACCATCTCTTCTGCATAAATAAAGATGTCAGTGCCCAGGTGGGACTTTGTTGTATCTGTGATGGGAAGGGTTCAGGGAGTTACCCTGATCTTGTCTGATTGCTATTTAAAGCTCAAGTGGCTAACAAAGGTAAGAATGTGTGTGGCTGCCAAAAGCCTTTGCCAGCGTGAAGCCTAGCCTAACTCATGTCAGGACACCTCTTTGCCAGACAGAAGGCAGGGCACAGGAAGAAGCAGTTTGACAGTTATACCAACCAAATTGCTTTCTTACCTGTTTATAGTTTTGCTTGTCAAAAGGGTTTTGGTGTACTATAGATAGCTCATTTTTTGCTAGAGCAGTTGCTTCCTCTCCAGGATATTTTGCCTGTTAAGAGTGGCAAAGGGCTTCCAGGCTTACCATGGTTTACACCGGGGCAGCACCTTGAAAGCAACCCCAGAATATACACTTCCGTTGCAAACCAAGAGAATTAGAGAAGTGAGCAGGAGGCACTGAGAAGAGAAAGGGATAAAGCAGATTCCCACTGTGCTATAGTTATCTTAGGCTGGGGGAGACAGCAGTGGTCCAGGCACAGAAGAGTCAGAGGCTGTAGGAGATTATAGAGCCCAACACTGAAGGTAATGACTCCAATCTGCCCTCCTTCTTAATTAAATCATAAATGCCAAAATACCAAAATATTTTTCTTGTTTCTTTTTTTTTTTTTTAACCTAAGGTACATATAGACTGTGTGGGCTTTAGACAGAGGAGACAGAGAACTTGTGAACAAAGCAGGTTGTCACAGGCATGACCTGCCAACATAGTTCACAGCAAAGTCCAGACATACAATTAAGGCAAAATGCATCTCTTTTAGAGCAGATTGACTGGAGTGGTATTGTCATTTAACCTCTGAGAGTCTTCTCAGGAAGAGGTGTCAGCTCTCTCTGGGTTTATTTATCGGAGTCGTTAATAAGTCATCAGAGTCATTCACCTTCTGTATGAGGTTATGGGAGAAAGACATGTCTGGGTGCTGCTTGGTAGTCAGAAAGGAAAGGCTGCCAGGGACTAGGAGCCTGAGCTGTGTGCGGCAGGCAGAGAAAGCTCTTCAGTCTCTGGATCACACTGAGATTCATTAGTTCTTGAAGAAAGGCTGAAAAATGTGATTATGTTGGGGAGGTGGGGGGGGCAGCTCTAAGTCTGCATGCTTGCAGCATAGCGAGCAGCTCAAAATTACAGCCTGTAAATAGATGTACATATTTAACCTCTTAGAAGGGCTGTAGCTCCCTGCTGTAGTACAATAAGAATAGTAATACTTACCATTTAGATTGTGCTTTCTATTTTTAGAGCTGTGCCAGAGTTAGGTATTTTAATGTAAAGCGGGCGGGTAATCTGTGAACAGGATTTTAAGCTTTTTTTTTTTTTTTTTTTTGGGGGGGGGGGTGAGGAGGTGTGGGATGGGGGCAGTGTTGTTTTGCATACCCCCCAGAATAAAAGAAGGTTCAGACCCTTCTGCTCAGGCAGTGGGGTCATGGCGTCTTTCAGCCTTCTCCCAGGAGAGACTGTCATGCGGGAGCTGATTTCTTCTCGGATCTGACCACCATAGCCCTCAGTAATTATAGCAGCGTTGAAATTCCGAGCTAAAAACAGAAGTGCAGCATGTGCCTATTCCCCATGTGATTCAGAAACCAGGAAATTGAAAGAGCCTGACTGAGAAGAGAGGGAGTGTAAAAGCAATAGACACATCTAATATTTCTCTCCAACCTGCTCCGCCTGGGACGCAGGAGCTGTCATCTGCCGGAGCCGATTATGCGTGCAGGCAAAGCTGAGCCTGATTGGATGTAGTAGGACCTAAGGCGAGGGGGAGAGGGAGCGGAGCGAGAGTTGGGCTCGCCGCACCGAAATGTAAACACTGGAAAGCGAGAGGGAGTATAACGCCTGTCTGCTCCGAGCGGCAAGCAGCAGGCTCCTCTGGCTCCGGCAGCGTGCCTCTTGCAGGTCCAGCGGTGCCCGGCTTGATGACCAGAAGCGGGCACTTCGGGGGCTCTCCTGCCTGTGGATATAAATAGGGGCAGCGGGATGCGGTAGCTTTCTCCGGCGGCGCCGCAGCTCCTCCGTGCTCCGCGCCGCAGCTGGGACAGGGCAATGGACATGAACATGAAGAAGTTCACAGTGCGTCGCTTCTTCTCGGTCTACCTCCGCAAGAAGTCTCGGTCAAAGAGCTCGAGCCTAAGTAGATTTGAGGTAAAATTCGCCTTAACTTTGTTAAATGTAGCAAATACCGTTAGGTGCTGGTAACAGAGGTATAGGAGAGTGCCTGCGCTGACTGACGGGATAAATAAAGGTGGTCTTGCCCTGGAGGTGGTGATGTTCACACCTGATGTTCTTTGTTTCAGTGTAATTCAGTGCTTTTTCTCAGTAGTACTCAATACGTTGCATAATATATTTAGTGTGTTGCTAAGGCTCCTTTTATCAGCCCGGCAGGGGAGGAGGAAGCTGGTTCAGGACATCATGAAGTTGTAGGAAATAATTATGAATTCACTTAAAATAACACAAATGGCACCATACTTCGCAATAGCCTCATATTTTAGCCTTCCTCTCCTGTGCACGTACCATTCTCTCTCAGTGCCAGCTTTCCAAATAATTAATCAATTTGCTAGTGCCTTTTGTATAGATGGTATGTTAGGGATTTTCTTGCTTGTCTGTAGGTTCTCCTGGTTGCACAGATTTTTGCATGTATTTTCTCTCCCATGCATCCTGTTTGGTTTTGGGGTTTGGTTTTTTTTGTTTTTTTGTTTTTTTTTTTTAATTTCGTTGTAAGGAGAAGTTGTTCTTCAGGAGCAGGGGGACAATGTCACATTAAATCTGCAACGGTTTAGCACTGTGGGGAGATGAAGGCAGTTCAAGTCAGAGGTATTAGCAGATAGGAATGTGTGAATGGGTTAGAACCAGGATTTCTGCCTCTCTTCCTCGAACCATTGTTCTTCAGCCCTATATTTGGAGCTGTAAATAGTCGGCAGGATGTGAGATCAATTGAATAGATGTCAGTTATGTTTGTGTTGTACACTTTATCGTTGCTCATGATCTGCAACCTCTGCATTAAAAGAGAGGTAGATGGGGCCTGATTCCCCTCTGCCTCACATTTGTTCTGTGCTGGTGTACTTCAACTGACCTCGGAGGAGTTACTCTGATTTGTACCAGTGTTCCCAGGAGGAGAATTAGTCTCATGCTGTGTGAATACATTTAAAAATGTTATTCCCTTAGTGTCCTATTTAAAGTATCAGGTAATTTGAACATAAAGTTCTTCATGTGTCATTGCTTAAACAGGACATGAGGAAAAGTGGAGGTTTTGGCTGGTTGTTTTGTTGGGTTTTTTTTTCTTTCTTAACTCTTTAAAATCAGCTTTCTTGAAAAATGATCATGTAAGGTACCTAATTTTATTTCACTTATCAAATAGTCATGCTATACATTTAAAGTAAACTAACAAATTAAAGTTGTTAAAGCTTCCTTCTTGCACCAGCTCTGTCCCTCTAGGATTGAGGGGAGAGGGGGGAACCTTTTCTTTCCCTGTTAAAAATGGAGAATTGCAAAGGCTAAACTGAAATAGATGTTCCTTATAACACACTGAAAAGTCACTAAGCTTGTGCTCCAGCAGAGCCAACAGAAAGTAGACCTGGAGTTACATGGATCAACTTGGAGACAGACAAGTGTCTTCAAGCTGCCAGTGTCAGGGCACGATGTTAGGAGGGGAGGGGATTTTGAGACGGCAGAGCCCCACCAGACCTTGTAACTACTCACTTGACAGTGCTGTAGTTTAGGAGGAACAGATTCCACCACACTAATTAATTAATTTACTGGGTAATCTAGCGTGAATGACCAGTACAACTCAGCATTTGTAACAGGCGGGACTCGCTTCATTTAAAAACAAACAAAAAAAGTCTTTACAGTCCCTTTGATCGTCACTATTATATTACATTTACTGGACTTTTTCAATATTTATGAACTTAGTTTTCCCTTATGTGAGTTGTCTTATAATGATTTTTTTCTTTATGATTTTAAATAATTTGCTTCAAGAAGCAGCCTGATAATCCTATCACACATGTACGTTCAGAGCATTTCGTCTTATTTCCCTCCTCTCCCTTGACTTGGCAGTAATGACCAACTTTATGCAAAATGACTCAGTATTATAATGCAACAGGGAATAGGGGTTGTTCCAATCAGGAAGAAAAAATGATTCATAAAATCTGTTCTGCTGTTTAAGTGTGAAAATCATCAGAGATGTTCCCGCTAAGAGGGGGAAAAACCAAACATGAACATCAAGCCCCCTCTGTGATTTCCATTCCTGAGTACTTCTGTGTATGAATTTGTAATTGCAGGCTAATGAGTGCTTGTCAGCCAAACAGAAAATTCAAGGATGCCTGTCGTCAGGCTATTCTTCATCCTAATAGTTAGATATTTTTAAAGAGTCAGTAAAAACACACAGGTTATTATATCGCGGAACAAGTAAGAGAGAAATAAAGGCAAGAAATTTGGAGACAACACATGTGGCATTGCTTTGCTTAATGTGTGTTAGCTAATGGACCTGGCAGAAGTTATGTGTTGCTAGATATCATTTGAAATTTGGAAGGGGACTCTTGTTCCTAGGTTACGTCAGATTTTTGTTGTGGTGTTCTTTTGGCCAGGTGGGAAAGAGGGTTGAAGGGTTTAAGATAGATACTCCTGGATTAAAGCATTTGATATTTTTAAAATACCACTATTAGAGTAGATTCAAAATAATGCAATATGAGTTAGTAATATCATATGATTAATTACTTTTGCTGCTGTGGTATTCATCTGAGCTTTAAATTCACTTGCAATGAGCTTCATAACTTACAAAGCAGGGATATAGATGCAGAAAATGACTTAGCAAATCACAGCTTGTAACTTGACCTTTACTAAATCATTTCATATGCCAATATCATTGCAGTATCTGAGACAGGATCATTACCTTATGTAGATAGCTGGGCTTCACTCTTTGTCCTGCTGAAGGAGGCAGAGCACACTCTGTTAAATAAGATAGATATTAAGGGGTTTTGTTTCATGTTGCCTAAAATGTATGCCTTTTTGATTATTCTAGGAAAACCTGGTTGAATTTTGAACTTATTTGGCTACACTTTTGCGTTTTCAGTTTATATTATTTTTCAGTATGGCCTGCATTGCCCTTCATTTCTAAGGTATCTAGTGATGTAATTTTATTAAATGTGCAGAGCCAAATTTTGCCCTTCCACATGCACAGAGTTCTTATTGAAGTCAGCTGAAAATCCAGCAAGTCAATGGGAACTGCATGTGTGCAACTGAGAGAAGGGCTTTGTTTATGGTTCTTGCTGAGTGTTGATGAACACGAATGTAAAACCATCAGGAGAAAGTACACACTGTAGATCTGCTAAAGACTTTGAGCCCCAGCGGAACGCATCTTATGGCAGTGAGCAATATCCCTTGATTTATAAATCAGAAGTTAAATATGCCATTTGAATAAGCTAGGAAAGACCTAAGCATGCAGAGAATTTGATTATATTTGTTCCAGTGATGCAGAAGCTTTTTTTTTTTTTTTTTTTTTTTAAGGAAATGATTAATTAACATTGCCCTTGTTTCTTTTGGGAGATGTTTCCAACCTTTGCATTCCTGATGTATCTTTAATCTGTTATTCTTTAATTCTTTTATTTCTTGTTTTGTTTTACTGGTAATAGTGAATCCAAATTCTGTTTGGTTTATGTATGGGCTTAGAGCCTAGCAAAGTTATTGGAAATTAATTCAAATTTAATTTGGAGCCTTATGTATCTCTGCACAGTCAGTTATGAGAGGCAGGACCTCCTGTGGGTGATTCAAGTGTGGGTCCTGCTTGGGTTGCAGCATTGGCATGTAGGAAATGGGAAACAAGTTTATGCAGTTTGATAAGGAATAGTGCAGAAAGACCGGCACTGGCTTTATAATACTTTGTTGTGAGAGATTTTGGGGTCTGATCTTCAGCTCTGATTCTGATTTCCTACAGGCTCAAGTTACAGCATCCTTAGGAAAGTGGCCAGCAAACACTGAGCTAGACTGCTCCTTTTGTACAGTGGGCTTCACTTGGCAACACTTGTGAGCTCTTCTGTGCTTGTATAAAGAACAATTCTGTTGTAGCTTGTCCTTTATTCTGCCTTTTTAAAAAATTGTTATTTTAATAGATAAACACTTGATAGAGGAATATAGTCTTTCTGTCAACAGTTAAACAGAAGGAGGCAAGTTAAAGAATGGAGGTATGGATTAACAGTCCAGGATCAGATCTGCAAGGTGCAAGTCCTGAGGAAGCTTTAGATATTTTTTTTTCCCTTGGTAATGATCATCTTTGTGATGTGTGTTCTTGTTACAGCAGAAGTTGCTGACACTATTGTAGTCTGACTTCCCCCAGCTGCAAGCAAGACTTTTATGAGGAAATGCTGCAATTCTTGTAATCTTGCATGGCTTGCTAGGGGGAAGGGAGGCAGGGCAAGGGAGGGAGAGCAGGAGTGTGTAGTCCATCAAGTCCATCAGATAGGGCACTTGAGGAGCCAGGAAATCCAACTTTCGGGCTCATTTTGATAACTTGACATGTCATTACAGATGGTTCAGACCCCTGTGCCTTGCATTTCCCATTTGTAAAATGCACTATTATTTATAAATATATATATTTATGATGATTATTCAACTCCTTGATAACAATTCTAACTATTTACATTGGATTTGGTGGTAAGAGAGCTTATTCACATGTGTATACATTCATAATAAAGAAATCACTCCCTAACTTTCCAAATACTTCTGACTTTATCCCAAATAAACAGTCTCTTGTGCCTCAGGCCTGCTATGTGCTCCTTCCCACAAGCCTCAAGTTAACTGCTGAGCTACAGAAAAGGAAAATTAAGCAGGCATGTGTAAGGATAACTTGTCCACAGAAAAATCATAGCAAACAGGGCTGGGAAAAAACCTTAATCTGTACTCCTTGTCCTCCTTAGACAGCATCAGCTATATCTAAGCTATTCCACCAAACCAAAAATGTTTTTCCAACCTCTTCCTAAAGGCCTGGAATGGTAAATGTCCATAACCTCCCCAGGGAAGGTATATTTTGCAACATTTGCATTTCTTAGCATCTAAGACTTTTTCTAATGTCTAACTTTTTTTTCTTACAGCAGTTTAAGCCTGTGTATTCTTGTCCTGCCCATTGTACCTGTGAAAAAGAGATTGTTTCTGTT